AAGGTACAAGACATTTGTCATGTCTCCCGTGTTTTTCCCCCCCAAAAAAAAGAGGGACGAAACCCCTCTTGTGGATGGCATTGAAAGGGAAGCCAAAGGAAGCCAACTGCCGAGTTTTGTGGGGCGCGCGGTTGAGGCCGTTTTCTGGACCCCCGGCCTTGGTGACCTGAGGCCACTTGGAATCTCCCGAATGCCCTGATGCTCTTGAGGCAAGGGAGGTCCCGGGGATGAACTCAGCACGCGATGGAAGTGTTGTGGTGAATCCTTCCGAGAAGCAAAGAAGCATGGACTGCTCAGTTGTCCAAAGTGAATTTCGACTTGACGTTCCAGGGCTACCTTCCAATTCCATTCTTTCCAGGGATCCGAATCTTTTCAGAAAACCATCGACCCTTTTCACTTTTCGCATTGTGGTCCATACTTGGTCATGGCCCCGAAAGGTGAAGCTTTTATGTCCAGGTCCCTTGGGCAACAGGGACTGCGGAAAGCGATGGCTTTGGTAGCGGGAAGCCATTTGGCCCCCCCTTACCTTGTACCCAGTTTCCGCTGCTTGTAGGTGAGCAGATCAGAGAACTACCGACCTCTACATGGGATCACTAAAGTCCGCATGGATCAATTTCGACGACGCATTGTGGGACCAAACCCTGGCATGGTGTTCCCCGAGACCCCCATTTTCAGAAGGCCCCGGCGCAGACAGAGAAACCACCCTGCTGGGATAGATGTGGTAGGCGCAGTTGCTGTTTCGTTTCGCTCTGTGGCCTGCCTTTGTGTGTTTTGGGGACTACCAGGGATGACAAGTCCAACTTGGGTTGGAATTGTGCCATCTACTTTCACCCAACCGAGCACCGGAAGCCTACCCTTTTGAGGGGCGCGATGTTTTTTGAGAACCCCCCCCCCAAAAAAAACAATAACAACAACAAAAACAAAAACCCAAAAACACAAAAAAAGCAAAACAACGCAAGGCTTTCCCCCCCTCCCGCGCCCCCCCGACCTACGGCGTTTTCCGCCGAGCGTTTCAAACGCGTGGCTTCGCAAGGCCGGACAGCGAGGCGCTGTTCATGGAGTGCGAGTTCGCGCGCGGGAGCACCGCCTGGAGCTGGGGAGCCCAGTTGGAAAAATGAGTTTGTCTTTTAAGCAACATGTTGGGGTGCACGCACAGGATTGGTGTATCAGCTAGTTTACATGGTTTGTTTGAGTAGACCGTTTTCCCCCCCTTTTTTTCCGAGGTTACCACTAAGGGTTCTAAAACTCAAGGTATGATTGGTTTGATTTGTTGTTGTTTCTTTTGTTCCTTGTTTGCTGTCGGAGTGTGTTGGCTGTTGTACCAAGGGAGCAAAACTGAGGATGGTATGTGTCAAACCATCTCTCTGAGTCAGGTAGAAATGGGAGCCCCAAGAAACTTCCATTTGGTTAAGAATACGTTTTTCCTCCCCCCCTGTTGGTTTTTAGAGGGAACTGGATTTTATTTTTTTCCAGGGGACTTATGCAAATGGAGGGAAAGGGACCAAAGGTCCCCTTCCAACCGTAGATGCGCCTTTTGTGGGTACAAGGGAGTGGTGTTTGCAGGCGGCGGCCTCGTTTTTCCACTGGGGGGTGATACTGTGGATGGACTAAATCCATTTCGCACCACCCAAGAAACCCTGGAATGATGATTCCCCTGTAAATACCGGCAAATAATTGTTTCTCATGGTTTCAAAGTGATGCAGGATTTTGTCCATCCACAGTAGTGATTTACCTGCCCAGATTCAAGTGTGTGTGTGTGTGATTTTTTGTACGTGCCTATGTGTATCTGCTGTCGAAGCCGTTATTGGCACCCTTGGGATTCTTTTGAAAGTGAACCCAAAGGAAAGTATATCATTTGTGTTGCGGATCCTTCATTTTAAGACAAAACCATGTCTCGTTCAAAAAGGCAGCCACGGCCTTCAGTATGGTCGAACTCGTCCACGTTTGGCCGCCTCTGGGGTATGGGCTATTGGAGCATTGCCCAAGATTGCTTTTCCCCGTTAAGTACTGTGGATGGACGAAATCCATTTCGCACCACCTAAGAAACCCTGGAATGATTCGATTTCCCTGTAAATACCAGCAAACCATGGCTTCCCATGGTTTTCGAGTGGTGCAGGATTTCGTCCATCCACAGTATTGTCCACGAAGAGCAGAGCTGGCAGGTCTCAAGTTTCAGTTGAAAGGGTGACAGTGGGCAGGTGCTGTTCCAAAAAATCGTAATACAGGTACTTAGACTCTCCATGACCCTTCAAAAATGGGGTCATTACCCAAAAGAAAGCGGTCATGACCCCATTTTTAAAGGGTCATGGAGACTCTCGGTAGAGTTTTTCATCCCGGAATCCAGGCTCGGGCAAGTTCCTTTTGCTTACAGTTCAGCTTGCCGGGGATGATACGGGACGGAAGAAGCGATCCAACATTCAACATGATTAGCCCGAGTGAGCGATAATTGTCGTTTATACCACACTTTTTAGGTTTCAGCATGTACGAGCATCCTGCTACCTGTTCCTAACAAACCTTCAACGCAAAGACAACAGCTTGATTTCCAAGCAAACCCAAATGGGAAATTGTAGAGTATTGATGACAAGTCCAACCATAAATAAACGCGCGGCCGCCCTTTCCAATTCTTGCATGTTGAATCGTCTTGAGTCCCAGCTCACATCGTTAAATCAAATTCTGCAGCGGCGTGGCGGTTCTTTCGCTGCGAGGCATTAGCTTTCACACCTACCTCAATGAGGAGTTCAACGACCCCGGCAAGGAGCGGACGCCGGACCTCCATTCGGAGGTGTTTTTGGATTCTTGTTGGGACCCGCAAAACGGTGGTTGTCCTTTTGGTTCCCCCTGTAAAACCAATTAACCAAAATGGGGGTCCCTCAAAAAGAGAAGGTGCCTTGGGGGTTCCTAGCTTCGGATTGGAGAACGGTTCACCCGTTTGGCCTTGTCACAGGCCCTCACCAATCGATGCACACTCCATTCGTGACTGACTCTTGACCACGTATTGTGAGCCTCACAGCATCACTACATTCTTGAGGCCTGCCTCGGCGGAGACCTGCTGGACGTATACGAACGGCGCACGAGCTACGGCGAGCCACGCCAGCGCCAAGTTCACCCGCTTCGCCTCAGGGACAACCACAGACGCCACTTTTGGGCGATCTTGCGAAGGATCTTGCATGCAGTCAGGCGTGAAGGTGGGAGACCAAGAATCCGGTTTACTGAAGTGAGCGCAATATTGTTCGTCGGGGTTGCAGAGTTCGGTTGATCCGGTTGGCAAAAGCATGAGGGGTTGCCCAGCTTTATAGGGATGACTGTAGAAGTGGAGAGGCCAACAGAGGTAGATCTATGAAGTTGGCAAAGTCTGATTGCGGCAGGCTGGGTGTTGTGCTTAAACTTGTTTTGCGCCGTTGTATATGTGTTTTGATGCAATATATTTGCTCTAGAATTTATTGTTGTCTGTGGCTGCAATAAGTTTAGCCGATGCTCGGTGTTCTAGGGACTTGTTTTGCTGCACGTTGTAGGTGTGCGACAATTCCCCCGGACTGTTTGTAAAATAGTTTCTCAGGTCTCCTGTGAGTTCTGTGAATAATCCACCAGTTTTGAACAAGACAATCCTGAGTACCTCAAACTGTGGTAAACAAAAATCATTGATGAAGGGCTGCAGAAGCAAACCAATTCTGCGACTTGCTGTTTCAAAGCTGTTTTTGGTCTCCTCGCAGAACTGCGCTCGTCCTTGATTGACGGTTTTCAGAGAAGCCATGCCGCAATCAAGGGTGAGTGACATGGCCATTCCTGTTGTTTGGCGTCAATACTTTCCCTTGACAGCACTTGGAAATTGATGGCCCTCGCCGACGTGTTCATTTCACAGTTGCTTCCAATCTCCAGAGTGTGGTTCGTGCAGCTGCTAGCACGGTGACTCCGGAAACATCGACGGTGAGTTTACCATTACTCCATGGACAGTTGAAGGACCAGGATTTGGCTACAGCCACTCTGAGCAAGTTTCGACTATGGGATTCCTTCTTTCGGGGGTCCACAGTCCTGCCCACTTCCATAGGGGGAATTCAACAGGACAGCAGAGTTCCAAACCCGTTTGTCAGCTTGCATGATTCTTGGACGTGAGGTAAATCAAAGCTCAAGCCTGGTTTATCCCATGGGCCAATAAGCGTGCCAACCGCCTGCCTTTCTGGGATCAGTAAATGAGGTGACACAAACAGGGGTCCCCATATTTCCCTTTTTGGTGGTTTCAAATATCACCTTTTTACACCCATGAAAGGTGAGTGTGCCTTGGTGGTGATGTTTTAAGGGGAAATATGGGAGCCTCAAACCAGCGAAACCAACACGCACATGAGCAACTTGGAAGATCGGCTTCAGGGAGCCTGAAGGCGGATTTCCCTTGCAGCCGGATTTGCTTGTGATCCCTTCTGTGGACTTAGGAGACATGTTGCATTTTACCAATGACTCAAAGTGAAGCAAACCATAAAATATACATTCCACTGGGCCTAACTCTCATGCCTTGTGTTTTGGGGGCGGGGGGAAGTAGTAGCTTGAAAGCGGACAGGTAGTCAAGTACTTCGAGTTGTTGCCATCCAGTCTCGACACAGACGAAAGTGAGCACCTATTGTCATCGTCACAATTCCAATCATGATCAGATTGTGGCTAGTTGGTGGCTCCCAGCCATCCCCTTAGCTTTTTAGCCTTTTAGTGTTCAGTGGTAGTTTCCATTTAACCCGAATAAAAGTTAAACTTTTAGCGGGGGATCTGAGGGCAGCCCAGTTTCTGAGGTCATTACTTTGGCTGGTTCTGGGGGCTATCAAAAGTGAGAAACCCGGGTTTCCAATCAGCCGACCACTTCGGGATTTTGAGGATGGTGAATGGGTACTGTATGTGTCAAAATAGCCCCCCCCCAAATGGGAGGTTTCCTCGTAGTTTCCCTTTGAATCAATTTTGGCTACCTCTGGTTCCCTCCCCACATGTCAAAATGTGCATCGACTCGATGCCAGTGCGCGTGGATGGTCTACAAGGGGTTTACGGCCACGGACTCAGTGAAGAGGTCCTCGCTGGTTTAGACTCCTGCCGACAGCTTCTTGGGCCTATGAACCACAGGTAGCAAGTCAAAGAACTGGGTTTGATGTTGGAACAGAAACAGGGTCCTCACCCAAAGTTGGGTGATCTTCCTGGGATTCGGGTCCCGAATCGGAGATCAAACAAAATCGGAACCTTGGATTTCTTTCCTTCGGTTGGACCTGCAACCTTTGCAAGAGCTGCAAGCGGCTCAGGGGTTCCCACTTGTGCCATGTGTCCCTTTTCGGGGGTTGCATCATTTGTCGTGTTGTCAATTTGAATTCATGCTGAGGCCGACATCAATGTGACATGTTACTCTCGGAAGCTACTGTTGCTGTGCAGTGCGCAGCGCCCAGTTCCCAGTTTCATGTTGAATATATCCGTTTGCTTGCTTTAGGTCATGTGATCGTGTTGTTTGACATGGAGTATTATGGAATGTCGCTGTGGGCCAGAACCAATGGTACCATTTTGGGGTAGGTGCAGCACCCATTTAGTCTATTTTAGTGGATATTGGGATGTTCACTGGGGGTACGGGATTTTGACCTATGGCCATGTTACCCTTGTTGTTCAGCAAGCACCTTGAAGAGAAAGCAAGTCGCAGATCAGCTAGTGGCTCCACATTGCCGCGATCCACCTCACGACGTTTTTTGCATTGCTCTGGTCGTTGCGACGCAACCCTACACTCCATTCCCTGATTTCCAAGTTGAACTTTTTATCAGCTTTTTGGTATGAGCATTTGGTGGTACATAAAAAGTTCAGACTTTGTGTCTGACCATTCCAGTTTGTTAAAGTTCAGACTTGTTCCAATCCACTCAGAAAAGTGAGCTACACCATCCCCTGAATCCGGCGCCCAACGAACCCACCGGCCCAACGAGACGAGAGGCCAGCGATATCCAAATGGCGATTGGCATCTCCTGCTCTGAGCGCCGGCCCCAAGACGCGGCTGGCGGTCCTAACACCGAAAATTCAATTGGCCCAGTGCTTCCACTCAAAGCAAAGGCTGCAAAGGTGACGAAACGGGCCCGTGGGGAAGGCCCCTTTGCGATGCAGAACTCAGCCGTTCAGGATTTGAAGACCGCCCAGTTCTTGATTTGCCAAATGAATTGCGCTCCATCAAGTGATCTTTGAGCTACTGGGGCCTTAGAAGCGAGCCAGTGTTGTAGCTGGAGCCTCCAAAACTATCCTAAGGGTAGCTTAAATATGGACCAGAATCTGAAAGCATAGTGACGATTAGCACCCCCCTCCCTGAATAAAGGTTTTCCCTTTTTGCCTCCCAGATTGCCACCAAAACAAAAGTACCGGGCCAACTGACCCCCCCCCCCACCCGGAAGGAAAGGACTCTACTGCAGCCCCCAAGCCGAAACAACCTGCCAGAGAAGGTCTGGCGGACTGCCCGTGGTGAGGGGGGAGGCTGTTGCCTGCTTTGAAGTACGGGCGCCAATTGCTAGGAGGTTTAAATGCCTTTTCTGATAACACACCATTTGGGCAAACTATTGCAACTTCGAAGATGGGGGTGGTGTTGTCACCTATGAGAAAGGTTCCTCACCCGTGAGAAGGGTTCCTCACTTGAGGATTCCACATGTTAGATGTGAATTGTAGTATTTTTTGGCCCATACCCAGCTAGCCAGGGTCCTCATGCCCAGATAGCCAGGGTCCTCATTCAGCATCGGTTGCACAAGAGTGTCAGCTTGAGGACATTGGGCAACCGCGCAGGCGGGGCATGACACCAGGTGTTTGAGGGGCCGGCACCATCCACGATCGTCGTCTGCTTGAAGCCTCTTTCTTGAATCCGTCCCATTCGGTACAGTTGGTTTCTCATCAAAGAGCTTGAGCCTCCGAAAATGTGACATGTTCAGCGGAGAAATCGTGGTGCCTGTTGAATTGAGGGAAATGCTTGGGCACTCCTGGCCGATTCAGATTAAGTATCAGACCTGGATCAACAAGCCACAGGTCCTGGGCTGCAAATGGAAAGAAGAGTGAGGCCAAGACTTGAGTGTGCATTGATACGGTCAGAATGCTGTAACAAGTTACTAAGTGGAAATTTCCTTGTGACATGAAATGGCATCCCTCAAACTCGCCAGATCAGGATGAGTTGGTGTTGCAGCTGCTCACTTGCAATTTCCGGCAGCTCAAGATTCAAGATTCGAAGTGGAGTTCTTGATGCCGCAAGCCGAATCCCGCAAGAGGGGCAACAGCTATTCGTGTCAAGAGGTGCTTGAAAAATGCCTTTTGTTTTGCTCCAAGTGGTTTCTAAAAAGTTGGTCAGGTGTGCTAGTTTCCCTGCGCTCCTGGAAGCCGCCCGGCTGTGTCCGCAAAGGAGGTGGTTTGCTTTTACCACTGCCTTCTCACGGTTCCTTCTCACGGGACCTGCAGACGGGAAGTTGCCCTTGGCGATTTGCTTTGAATCGTCAATCTGATCTTTGCGTGGTTTGTTTGATCCCAAACCTCCTGCAGACTTTCCAATTGGGCATGCCTGGTTCCGTGCAGCTTTCTGGGTGGCTTTGCCCCTTGGGATGTGGAACCGAGGTCTGCAAATCGTATATGTCCCCCTTTGTTGGCACTTGAAAAGCTTTGAGTGAGTGCCCTTGTTGTGGGGGGATGCAAAAGAGGACATACAAAGAGCTCTCTTGAAAGCCCTCAACGCATTGCTCTCCTGCGTTCTTTCAAAACATAGGAGAACACGGAGGGACGCTTGTAGAATAGGCATGTGTGTTTGCATATGTTTGTGCCTTGCATGTTGTTGTGAAGCGCATTATGGGTAGCAAGGCTGTCAAGGCGAATGTCTTAACAGGTCCAGGCCCTGTTGACGCATGGCACCCTCCTCGCATAAGTCAACCATCAACGTGCGTGAGGATGTGTTCTCAATCTGTTGCCATGCCTTTCTTCATTTTTTCAACTTGTTCCACATCTTTTGTCATGTGCTGCTTCTGGCTTCATTTCAATAAGAAGTATCAAAGGGTTCCTTTAAACAAATGGTTTCCTTTTGGTTTTCCCTTCAAATGCCAAACAACAGCGGGTCCATTTTGAGAGCTACCGCATCATTTCGTCCAGTTGGCTCAATCCGATTTGGGCCAAGCCTTTGCGCCCTGACGCCAGGCCTTCATCCCTTGGTGCTGAGGCGGTATGGGCGCGTGTGTTCCCCAAAAGGGGGGAAGGGAACCTTTTCGTGGGTCAACAACAGGTTCCCCCTTCAAAGCTGTGGAGGGCTAAGTCGGTTGGTTCGTTGGTGCGGGTTGGTTGGGTTTGGGGGGGGCTTTGGAACGTTGGCTTCGGAGATGAAAGCGGAAAAATGCTGGAATCACGCCAGTGACTGCTTACAACCACAGTGCCCGTTTATGGTTTTAGGCAGAACCTGATTGTCGATGGCTGACGTTGGGGTGAACTGGTCAGACTGAGAATAGCTGGAAAGGCCACCCCCCCACAGGGCTAGCAAATGGACAAACCACGAGGGTAGACCCTTGGTTTGGTTTCCTTTGCTTCTCCTTTAGCTGGGGCCAATTTTCAACCATGTCAGGGTCTTTGGAGCCATGCCTAAACGATTCAACCATCAACTCAAATCATAGGCAGGAGCATTGATCTTGACGACTTACAACGACCAGGTGAATCCAGCTCACCTGGGAGTTGTCTCAGAACACATATGGAGCATTGAAGCGACACACAGCATGGGTGGCGGCCATCTCAATACTTGGCTGGGTCACTTTGGGCATCCAGCAGAGCTGTTCCATTGCATGCTTGAGACTGCAGAGGCTCTAATTCCCGAAAGCATGGCGAAGGGTTCTTCCGCTGGGTTCACTTGAGTTGTTCTCATGAGAGTCATTACAAGGTGTCATTGCAAGGAATCATCATCATGAAAGTCATTGCAAGGAGTCATTGCAAGGAGTCATTGCAAGGAGTCATTGCAAGGAGTTATTGCAAGGAGTCATTGCAAGGAGTCGTTGCAAGGAGCCATTGCAAGGAGTCATTGCAAGGAGCCATTGCAAGGAGTCATTGCAAGGAGTCATTGCAAGGAGTCATTGCAAGGAGTCATTGCAAGGAGTCATTGCAAGGAGTCATTGCAAGGAGTCATTGCAAGGAGTCATTGCAAGGAGTCATTGCAAGGAGTCATTGCAAGGAGTCATTGCAAGGAGTCATTGCAAGGAGTCATTGCAAGGAGTCATTGCAAGGAGTCATTGCAAGGAGTCATTGCAAGGAGTCATTGCAAGGAGTCATTGCAAGGAGTCATTGCAAGGAGTCATTGCAAGGAGTCATTGCAAGGAGTCATTGCAAGGAGTCATTGCAAGGAGTCATTGCAAGGAGTCATTGCAAGGAGTCATTGCAAGGAGTCATTGCAAGGAGTCATTGCAAGGAGTCATTGCAAGGAGTCATTGCAAGGAGTCATTGCAAGGAGTCATTGCAAGGAGTCATTGCAAGGAGTCATTGCAAGGAGTCAAGGAGTCATTGCAAGGAGTCATTGCAAGGAGTCATTGCAAGGAGTCATTGCAAGGAGTCATTGCAAGGAGTCATTGCAAGGAGTCATTCATTGCAAGGAGTCAAGTGCAAGTTGCAAGTGCAAGGAGCCAAGTGCAAGTTGCAAGTGCAAGGAGTCAAGTGCAAGTTGCAAGTGCATGGAGTCAAGTGCAAGTTGCAAGTGCAAGGAGTCAAGTGCAAGTTGCAAGTGCAAGGAGCAAGTGCAATTGACTTGCGAGGAGTTAAAATCTCTTCTTAGGGCGGCGGGGTAGTGCCGACGACACTACACGAAAATCGACCCTCTGCGGGGATCGGCGTGGTCGAGGTGCAAAAACTCGAGGTTTTTTGCGATTTCTGCGGTGCTCGCGCGACCCTCTGCGGGGATCGGCGTGGTCGAGGTGCAAAAACTCGAGGTTTTTTGCGATTTCTATCATGCTCGCGCGACCCTCTGCGGGGATCGGCGTGGTCGAGGTGCAAAAACCCATGGTTTTTTGCGATTTCTGCGGTGCCCGCGCAACCCTCTGCGGGAATCGGCGTGGTCGAGGTGCAAAAACTCGAGGTTTTTTGCGACTTTTGTTGTTCGAACTGGTCCTCGGGAGTTGTCTCGTGGTTCGCGCGCCTGCTCCCGGAACCGGCGGGTCGCGGGTTCGATTCCTCCCTGGTCCGCGGGCGGGCGTCGCAAGATGCAACTTGCATTTTAAAGCAACTTGCGCAGAGCAACTTGAGAGCAAGTTGCACAGAGCAACTTGCGCAGACCAACTTGCACCGACCAGTTTGCGCAGAGCGCCTTGCCTAGAGCAACTTGCGCAGAGCAACTTACGCAGAGCAACTTGCACAGAGCAACTTGCACAGAGCAGCTTGCACAGAGCAACTTGCAGGGAGCGCAATTTGCACAGAGCAACTTGCAGGGAGCCACTTGCAGGGACCAACTTGCCGGAGCAACTTGCGCGGAGCAACTTGCGCAGAGCAACTTGCACAGTGCAACTTGCGTAGAGCAACTTGCGCAGACCAACTTGCACCGACCAGTTTGCGCAGAGCACCTTGCCTGGTGCTGTCTCGCGCTTGCTTCACGAATGCTTCGTGTAGGGAAAAAGAACGCATCCTGCAGCGTTGGGCCGACCTCGCTTGCGATGTTCTGCTTTCGGGCCAACCGTGGTCTAGTTTTATTCGTCCCAAGACCCATGCAAATCAGTTAGGCTTTCAGCTGACCAACGCCACTCCTCAGTTGGCTGCTTGCCCGGCTAGGGTTTTGCTCAAGAACTTCGGATAGGACGCATATCTATGTACCTGCCATGGAGTGGGTTTGGGTTGAACCGGATTTCCGGGGTCCCAAAATGGGTCGCCAGGTTCACGCACAACGCATCTCCGCATCAGTACGTCATCAAGACAAAGCCATTGGAGTGCTGAAGCCCCGGGCATCCGAGGGCCTTCGACCCAGGGAAAGTCATAGCAGGGGACCCGTTGAATTCTCAAACCAAACGGGTTTCGATCCTCACTCCGTTGAGCCCAGGGCACCGGTTGAGAACAGATTCTGGTTTGCCGGTTCGGATGGCTTCATTGACCATGTGTGGAGCATACGAAAGGCAGCGCGCGAGACTACCCCAGAAAGTCATAGCAGCGGACGCGTTGAACGAGATTGAATAAACAGGTTCCGATCGCCACACCAGCTGAACAGGTTTGTGATTAGCAGGTTCAGATCGCTCTGCACCATTAACAATCATGCGTGCAGACAAACGAAAGGCAGCCATTTGTTGGAACCCGTTCTGGGTTGCCCAACAAATAGGTGGGTTTCTTGAAGACTACTTTCCTTTTTAGGGGAACCCAGTCCTTTGATTGTAAAGAGGATCGTCTTTTGGAAAAGCGTCTTAACGTGTAGGATCCTCTTGGAGCTGTGCCAAGCTTTCGGCAAAGGTGGCCAAAGAAGTACCCTGGTGCTCTGAGAAGCTGAGACCACGACATGAGGGCTGCGCTGGTTTTCCTCCCTCAACCTTTGAGGCTGAGGCTCACTTCCCGGAGTCCCATTTTGGTGGCAAACAAAAGAGGTGCATTTTGCTTGGATGTTAGAACTTGATTTTTGCCAACTAAGGTTTTCCATTAAACCACTAAAAGTTAAACTTCTAGAAGGGGAGCAGAAAGCAACCGAGAAGAAGTCTGGACACCTTTTTGCCAATCCAGTCAGCAAGTGAGAAGGCGCGTGAGATCAAAGCCCAGGGTTCTGACAAGAGGCTGAATCCAAGTCCGGAAACTCGGGGAGTGTTACGTTTCTCTCGGGCCGTTTGCTGGTGGAACTCAAGTTCGGGTGTTCGAAGAGGTCAGGGCGTTCGGACTACAGAATCTAAGGGCTCGTTCATTGGTTCGGGTTACAGCCCCCGTTGGAACACAACACAACAACCTACAGCACCACCCAACAACTGCTTGTTGGACAGTACTCGAAATTGGGTTCGTTCTTCTGAGACAAACTCACCCGCGGCAAAATACGGTGTTGACCTGAAGTTGCCCATGTCTTCCAACTCGCAGATGAACTGCTGATCTCAAATTTCTGGTGCTGACTCCCAGGCGAGCAATCGGGTTTGTCATTTTTCGGGGTGCTGAGTCGTAGTCCAACAGCTTGCACCTTTGAACCATGAGGTCGCGCCGTCTCCGGATTCATGAGGACCATGTCGATTCCAAGGGCATATGGGCGTGTGTTTTTTGAGGATACCCATTTTGGGGTGGGTGAAAAGGGACACCAACAGCAAACCACCCATTCGGAGATTCCCGCGTTTTGAGACACCAAACATGTCAATTAGGTTGCCCTAGATCACCATCTTTGAGTTTCCACTACTTAAGAACCAGGGCCATGGCCAACTTTCAGAGTCACAGTGCCTAAGGTTTCAAGTGGACACACATCTGCGTGTGCGTGGACCACTTCGTGCTGAGCCTCACTGTGAATGGCGGGGAGCCTTACCTCAAGGGAAGAGAAGGGGGTTGTTTTATATTGATTGATTTGAAGGTCGATTTAGATCAGTTGGAGATTTGGATTTGTGGTTTGGGGGGTTTGAACCCCTGGTTCTTGTAAAGGGTAAATGGGAAACAACACCTGAAGCACCAAGCCACCAATTAAAGCAACCAATTGAACCAATTAGATGGAAGTTGATTACACCCATGCTTTTAGTCACCATTTGGGTAGGTACTAACAAACGAAAAGCCTAGGGTATGTTCAATTCCATGAGCAGATACTCCTAAATGAGTCCGGGCATTTTGTCCCACAGCTCTGGCAAGATTTCAGAAGATGCTTGGGGAAGTAGATTCTGAGTTTGGGAGCCCGGAATGCTGCATCCTTCGAGTACAGCAGACTGTGTCATCTCCAGCAGGCCCAGCTTTGGCAGGCCCTGGACGGGGAACCTTCCGCTTCTGAACCCGAAAGTGCTGGAAGGGTCCTGGAGTCATGGGGGCTGGGGGGGAGGGAGGGGAGGGGGAGGGAGCCCCAAATAAGCCCTTATTGAGCCCCAATAAGGTCTTATTTGGGGCTTATTGGGGCTCCCCCCCCCTCCTCTCTCCCCCCCAGCCCCCATGATGGAGCCTATCGAGAACCAGCATGCGCGAAACATTTGGACTTGTGCGGGCCAGACGTGCCGCACGACGTCGCGGTAGTGCAAGCCGGCCTTGGGTGGCCAGCTGCAGCAGCAGCCGCGGCAAGTGTTTCACGACCGGGCATCCGGCTCGCTCAGTGGGGCACCGAGGGAAGGTGCTAAAACTCGGCAGTCGGATTGCCGGGGACCTTCAGAGAAACCACCACGTCCTGCGCTACTTGAAAGTAATAGGGACCCACTCTCCTGCTACTGAACCAGATGTTGCTTTGGGTCTGGGGTTGAGCTTAATTTCTGTCAGTTGTCACATGCAGGTTGACAAAATGGCGGCCCCCTTTGAGTGACCCCTCGAGAGTGCCGCTTCACGATTTGAAGCGAGGCCCTAGTTGTGAGAGGCAACTGAGTTTTGGAGAGGCTACTGAAGCACCATGTCCTCATCGAGGCCTGGAAACCTCAATCACCCCAGCCAGTCGTCCGGGTCATACCGCAACTGCTCGCCTGCGTCACTGAGGCGAGCTCACCTGGGCCGAGGAGATCATTGCAGAGATCCCGTGAGTGGCTCAGTTCTCCGAAACCGACCTTGTCACCTGTTGGATTTCCCATCTTACATCCATGAGTCAGTGCCAAAAGGTACGAACTTTTTTTTCCAGTTCCGACAAGGGCAGACAAGGGATAGTTGCCCTTCTTGTCTTGAGCTTCATAAGGATAGTCATCAATCATCATCAACCTTTTCATGGCAAAGTTTGACAACTATCCTAAGCGATGTGTTGTACCATAACCAAGACCATAGCCCACATTATATTGTAGTGTTGATCGTGACTCATGTGACAAACAACGCGCTTGGCGCTTGCCTTGGACATTTGCTTCCTGCATGCTCAAAGCTTCCCAAAGTCGGGGGTATGTCTCAGACCAGCTCAAGTCTTTATGGTACGTTTCCCTTCGCACCCTCACCAGCAACCAGGGTCACAATTTGGCAGTTTGATTCGGCCTGGTTTCAGCAGATATTTGGTCCAGATCCAGTCAGTGGAATAGGAGCTGCGGAAGTGGTTTCAATGTTCCTTGCTTTAAAGCTGTTGCGCTGGCATCGATCGATCTGGTGACGAATTGTTGCTTGAAACGGATGGAAAGACACCTCCTTCCAATTACCAAATGCAAAGCCCCTATTGATATGACCTTCAAACCAGCACACCAGCAACCCTAGGGAATCTGACTCCATCCACCTTGAGTCAGATCCTTAACCGATCCTAAACCCAACCTGATAGAGTCTTCCTTTGGATCCAGGAGACGAGCGGTTGCTCAACCTACAATAGGGAGGCAACAAACCTTTGTTTATCGTTTGCCCTTCAAAACCGCTCAACCACTCGGGCTCCAAACATTTGCTTGGGTTAACAAGTTCCTTCACCGTGGGCAGCAGTTCTGATGGTCAGCAGTGCCGTTTGGGGCGTCCTTAAGGGGCGAAGGCGGGAACTCCTGGCGCTTGCAGGAGAGCATGGCCATGATTCCGTGAAGGCCCTCTAATGGCTCTACTGGCTATCTTGGTATTTTTAGCACGGGATGAATTGCCATCCCTACTCATCCCCCCGGCGGTTCGACACTTCCACTGCCCCTTCCCTGCACCTTCCTGTTGGCTTGCTTTTTCCTTACAACAGACGCAAATCAAGACAAACATGCCCCCTTCCTTGAATCCTTGAACCTTGTTGGGTTGTTTCTCTACACAAATCAAAACAAGCATTGAATCATAAATTGAAACATAACCATTGTAGTTCGCTCGTCGCAGTGCCAGGCTTATGTGCTCGTACGGCACCTCTGACCTTTGTGTCGGCTGTCCTGGATGGGAGTTCGACCGAGCGCTCGGCTGCCACGCTTGGAGAGTCCCTGTTGCGTGGGTCGCAATGCGCTTCTGGTGAAGTGGCTGGGATCGCCCAGCTCTTTGGTTTGATGTTTGTCTTTTGCGTCCTGTGGTTTCTGTTCATATTTTGCCGGGAGGCGGGGCTGCAAAGCGCAAAGTTTGTTGCTAAGATTCCCAGGGTTGGGAGCTTCACATTCTGGGGTTAGTCGCATCTCGACCAAGAAATGCCCCAAGTCAACCACACTTCGAGTACCTCGTAGTGTCCCCCGATGTTTCACCGAACCCCTATAGGCAACAACACTTGTTCCATGTCTGAACACCTTGAGTAACTATTCACCAGACATGTCAAGCACTTTTGATGTCAAAGGTGTTCCGTGACCGGAGAATCGTGTAACTCCCTCTGGGGATCTCTTTGTCAGTTCAGAGGACCGAGCTCTGCCAGGAACAACCCGCATGCCTGGGTCTACTGCGCTTGCCTCGGTCCAGGAGCCGACAATTTGCCCCGCTTCGCTGTGATGAAGCAACTTCCACGCGATTTTTTTGTGTGTGTGTGTGTGTGTTGGATGTAGCTGACATGGCTCAAGGTCCCTGCAAGGTCCCTCAGAGTGTAACACTTGCACACAGCAACTTTCATGGAGCGTTTGCGTAAAGCAACTTGTATGGAGCAACTTGCACAGCATACTTGAGCAACTTCCACACAGGATCAAAGGTTTCATGGCTTTCCCTTAGAATTCTGCTGAAGAGATCCCCAATATCCTCTACACTTATTCACACCGCCAAGATCCAGTTGACTACCCGGACCACCCAGAAGCTACTTCAGTCATAGCTCATGGCCGTGTTGAACCAAAACGCGCCCAGGTTTCGCTCTATTATTGTGCGAGGACACGTGATAGTTGTGGAGTCCAAACACACAGGAAGCCTTTGAGTTCCCCGTCCACCTTGATGATCTCAAAGCTGTTCCTCTTTTAGTGAGAGGGTGGAAACATTTCAGAAGGATTCCTGTGATCAGTTCAGCCATCAGGGTCACCAACAGCCACATATGCTTAGCGTGTGACACCTGTTTACCCAACTCTGTCTCTTGCGTCTAACAGCAGATACCTCCCAGACTCCAAGCGGTTTCGCTTTCATAAGCCTTCAGAGCCGTACCCAGGAAGCTTGGGAGAACTATCATTCGTTTGGGTGGTTGCCTGTCTTTGGTTCCCCTTGGAGCTACCTGAAAGGGGGGGTTTTGCCCAAAATTTCGGGGGCCGGCGGGGGACTCAGGTGTGAACATCTACGGGTTCAAGTCCCTTGAGCCCAATGAAGCGCTCTTCAACAAGCGCCGCGAGGCGAACCGTCGAAAGACTCGAATGCAAGACCTGGGTTCGCTCGGTTGAGCGATAGTCAAAGTTGATATGCGTCTCCTTTTTAATCAGTTCTTCTCCTTCTCAGGGCCTCTCCATGCTTCTCCTTTTTTCCTACTGCTCCTCGTTTGCCTCCTTCTCCTTATCATGATTATAACTTAACATCATTTCCTGTCGTCAAGGGGATGTCATGGGATATAGCCGTAGCGTGTTCTTGTTTCAGGATGATTATTGCCAGAAAGAGCCAAGCTGTAGACCTCGTTTCCAGATTTCAGCAGGAGCCAAGTGCAGATGTGGGGTCATGTGTCCACACCCAAGCTTGAAAGGCAGCATTTAATGAGACAGCTATTCAGTCCGAATATCTTGTAGGAATAAAATGCGTTTAGCTGAAATTGAACTAATAAGCGTCAGCAGCAATTTGGTCGAGTGAGAGTAATGGCTCTCTCTAGAAGCCGTGACTATGCATCAACTATATCCTCCCACCAACAACGTGGAACCCACCAGAAGGCACCCTCAATTAAGGGAAATGGGCTTCCATGGACCTGTCAGTAGAATGTGCTTCGAGATGCCCAGCTACTCATCCGCTACCATCAGCTGTTGCTCGCATTGTTAGCGTGTCAAGAGCCTTGTCTTTTGCTCTGAGCAGGGACGCTGTCAGACAGTTGGGTTGAGTTGTCCTTCTTGCCTGGAGGATACCTCAACCGTTGATCAGCAAGTACAGTTGTCTTGAACCCAAGGATTGGCTCAACATCTACCGGCAGGTCAGCTGACCTTGTGTAGGGAATGTAGCGAGGAGTTTGGTTGCCCGGTCTCACCGGGAAACCGGCGCCTCTGTGAGCCTTAACTTGCGCCTCTAGACGCCTTTCTTTGGCTCTTCAGTGAATCATGCCCGTGTTCGGCGACAATATGCGGAGGGTCAATTTACGGGGACATGGGAAACTCACTACACTTCCCACAGAGAAAAAGCAAAAATCGGGGGGACGCACGATTTCGTCTAGGTCCATTCGGGCAACCGCATGTGTTGGAAGCCGACCAATTGGTCGTCTTTGCCTCGGTTTCCCAATTTCACAACACCGCAAACTGGGATCTCAAGGCTCGCTAAGGCAAAACACGCAAAACACATATTCTTGCTAGTGCCTGGCCTGGGGGGAAAAAGCGGAGGAAAGCATAGGGCACATGAAAGATGGATCCAAGAAAAGCATATTCCTGGGAGGCAAAGGGTACCCCCAAAAACCAAACCCGCGCGGTCATATGAAGTCGTGGCAGGAGTTGATGGCCTGGCGTTCCACCCACGAGGAGTTCGATGAAACGGCCCGGGCCCCGCAAACGCGGAGCGTGGTTGGCCGATTTTACGTCCGGGGTTTCCCTCAGATGGACAGGCACGGGTTTTGTTGCTCAAACCAGGCGGTGTTATCAGCAAGGGAGAGTGACCCTTGTCAACCATCCGTTCTGCTCTCCTTTGACTCACTCCCTGAGTTCCGTTTCGGACGCTATTTCTACTTTTTTGGGAAGACCATATTTAGCGGCAAACAAACATTTCAGACCTGTTTTGGCCAATCCACGCAGCAAACGCCTTGAAAACATTTGCAGATTTACCGAACCCCTGAGAGCCGGCAGATGGCCATGGGTCAAAATCCCGTACCCGCAGTGAACATCCCAATCCCCACTATAGGTTCAAAAATGGGTGGGGAATTCACCAACCAACCAAGATGGGATCCAAAACGGTTCTGACCACCAGCCATTTAGACTCATGGTGACCAATGGTGACCACCTAAGTGACTACCCCTGGGAGCCGGAGGGGTTTTTCAGCTCGCGGCTTCGCACCGCAGCGCTTCGCAGCGAGGAACTGGGCCGCAGTGGCATCGATCAGCTGCCCAACCCCCTGAAGATGCCGGTCACCACGCGTGCCACCTTCGACACACGCCAGGCCGATGGGCAAACCTGCAACCTGCCGGGAAAAGGGGGGTGTCCTCCGAAACGCAGAATACCTAGGCAAAGATAAGATTTTGAATACAGCTATATATATATATATATAAGCTAGATGTTGATATATCATTATAAGCTAGATGTTGAATCTAGGTAAGATATTCTAACCATCCTCCCACCAATAAGCCTGGAAGTTCACAGACTTCCTTACCAGAACGAAGATCGCATTTATACACGTCTATTTGTTTGTTTGTTGGTGGGAAGGTAAATCATTGAGTCTAGCCACATAAATCAACGATACATACATAAACGATTCGGGAGTGTGGTTCCTTTCTGACTTGAGCTGAACCAAGTGATGGAGCCATTTATTTTGGGACGACCAAAGGGAACTCATTCATTTTTGGCGGCTCCTGAAGACAGATGGTATTGGGTTTGTTGATGGGTGAAGCACAGCATCTGGCTATAAAGGTTCATAGTTTATATGGAGCCCCTCCAAAGTGGTGGGTGGACATAAATCCCCACCTGAATGCTGTTCACAATAAGGGAACCCTGGTCAAGACACCCCCGACCCCGGATCGGGAGGCTTTGCCCTTGATTTCTGGCTGTCACCAAGCAAACATATTTCACATCAATTTGTCCACTTGTCATGAAGGCATCAGTTTAAATTTTGACGTTCATCGGATTGCATGAATCCAATCCGAGTGCCGCAAGAATCCCTCACACTCCTGCAAGTATCTGTCATCCGACAGAGCCCATTGCAACAAGCAAGCAGAAGGCGACATGGGGTCACACGGGGCCACACGGCAAAACATGGGGTCTTGGGTTTCCTTTGAATTTCCTCCCAGCCTCTGGAACAGCGCTGTTATTTCAATTTGTATTCCCCTAACAGGCAGACCATCTCCTACCAGCACCGCCGAACAACTGCGTTTTGGACAGTATTTAGGATGTTGGACGTGGAAAAAAAACGGCTGTTGGGGTGCTGGTCCTAACTACCTAGAGTCTCCATGACCCCTAGAAAAGGGGTCATGACCCCTTGTTGTTGAGTAATGACCCCATTTTTCAAGGGTCATGGAGATTCCAGGTACCTGATTTTTCCACCCGAAAAGCGTCTTCCTTTTGGAGACACACTTCCCATGTGTCGTGGAGCTGCTCGGCTCCGTCGGGCTCTCTCTCGGCTCAGGTGGTTGCAGCGCGCCAGGGGGTGGAGGTCCTTTGCGAGCTGCTCTCCGGGGGCTCCGAGGCGAAGGGAGCGTAATGAGAACCCGCTTTTTCAGATACCCCTTGGTTGGTGGTTTGGACTTGGTGGTTAAATTGGTGTCAAATTTGGTATGGTCTCATATTTTTGTTTTTTTTAGTTGGTGGTTCGGATGGTTTGGATTGCTTGGAATTGGATTTGGACCCCTGCTTCTTGTAGGGCCTGAACGAGAAACCAGCCCCGAACACCTCCAAACCACCAGGAAAATCTCGTTTAAACTCAACTACCCTGTGATCCACCAGCGCGGAGCCCACCAGGGAGTCCCTCACAGTATCTTCCAGGACCCTGTGAGGTTCCATGTTTTGGCATGTTGGATGGGAGGGTGAGTCAGGTAACAAGGGGGTTGCCCTTTTTGCCCCATGGCTTGTGGCGGTCTTGTTTAATGCGAAGCCCAGACGAAGGGCTCTGCTCCTGACTTTGATTGGGGGTGTCCCAGAATCCGGATCATTGTGGGTGACACCACTCCAGTAGGGGACCTGGATCTGTTTGAATGTGGTGGATGGGCAAGGAAATGAAGATCAACGATCGATCCCACAATTGAGGTCACTTTGAACAACTTGACATGATTAGGTTCTGTTTGGTGGTTTAAATGGACATCAAGTACCCGCACCCGCCAACAACTGCTTTTTGGTTGCTGTTGCGATTCTGGACATGGGATTTGGGCAGTTGCAGGGACTCAGGGTGCAAACCGTACCCTCAAGCCTTGTCTTGCGACCCCACTAGGTCCCCCAGCTAGGTGCCCTTTTACCGTTTCCTTTTTTGGGGGAGGGTTCCCCTACTAAAACAGACTACATAAAAAAGAGCTCGGGTGCCCTTATTCTAACCTCTCAAATCTGCAGGACCTAGTCAAAATGCCTTCAATTCAAAGGGCCCTCGAGGCTCAGCTCCCAGCCCCCATCTATCCGAATGGACACTTACAGTCTATTTTGCAGACTCAAACCTTAAACAACCAACGCCCTAAATGAAGCTAGGTGGCAAAATCGAGCCCTCAGCGTCCATCATATCCCACGGCCACCAGCCGCTGCCTCGTTTCGGGAAAAGCTGCAGGCGCAGCGGCGCGCGGCGGTCTTCGCGCTGCGGAACTTGGCGGACCCGGCGGTGACCTCCGGCCTGCGCGGCAGCCCAGCGGCGAACTGAAGTCCTTACTGGGCCATGGTGACGGGTGGGCCCGCCAAATTGAAACCACCCAACCGCCAAACCGCCTATCCAGCAAAAACAATTTTGGAGGGACGCCTCGCTTCCTGAGTTCTTGTTCTATAGTCACTTTTTGGGAAGACCATTTTAGCGGCAAAACAGAAAGTTTGGACTGTTTTTGGCCAATCCACTGAGGAAGCAACTAGCTGACTTTAGTACTTGGGTGTCTGTTGCCAAGCTAAGTTGTTGGTAGCCGTTTCGGCTATAACCCGCTGACAAGTCCCCCGTTCAGCAGTTCCCGTTGTTTGGGGGTAACCCAAATGGCGAGCCACTTGCTATCTTGGCTCAACATCCAAGTAACGGGAAGCACGGATTAAGCAAAACCCCTGGTTGAATGGGGGGCGTCCCCTTGTGGTTCAATCCGGATCACTTTTGTAGGTGATACCCCTGGTAGAATGGGTTTATTAATCCGGGATCAACAGTATTTAAAACGGTTCTTGCAAACGGGTGATCGCTTGGACCTATGTGAGTGCAGCATAGTAGAACTCATTTGGTAGACCCATTTTTGGTCACCCAACTTCTGCTCCATTGTGTTGGTGGTATCCCTTTGCGAATAGAAGGGATCCCCAGATTTTGAAGAACCCGTATTGTTCCCTCCTTTTCCTTGCCATAGTTCTACACGTTCCTGAATGCACCTAGCTCCAGCTGGAGTGCGTTTTCGATCTTTGATTGTGGAGCTATTGCGCGCAGCTTACTGACTATAAGGCTTGGTCAGGCAGGGCTTCCCTATGGGCAGATCTGTAAGTTGAAAGCCTAGCGATTCCCTGAGCGCTGGGCTCTTGGAGCGTCCTCTGCCACAGGTTTCGGGATGGTGAATAAGAGGCTCAGTCATACGCCAAGCGCTCTTCGTGGGAAGCCATCGGAGGACCCGATTTGCCTGCCCAATCAATGCGCGCAAAATTGTCCTTCAGTTCGCCCAGAAAATGAGGGCTCAACAATGGCCAGCTGCCTCAGCACCATTTTGCCTGCATCTATGGCTGTGAGTCTCAATGGGGAACTGGTTGATGGACATGCTTCCTTACCTAAATGATGTCCACCAAAAGGTCCCATTAACACAAACAATCACACCCACACAAATCATACCCATATGGGGGGAACACAGACCAGTCTTTGCTTGAGGGTCTGCAAGACTTCCAGGCAACCCTTGCTTGTGCCTTTCTTTGGGAGCATTTGGATGAAGTTGGCTCCTTGCAAGCCTTGAATTCAACAAGCCAAAAATCAACATCATCCGCCTGTCCACCTGGGTGTGCTTGTTCTTTTGAGGCGCAGTATCCTTTTTCAGCTCGGTAAGGGAAACCCGCAACACCGAAATCCATTTTGGGGTGCCAAGTTCCTATTTCAAAGGCAAAGAAAGCTGCCAGTCTCTAAGGCGCCGAGTGGTGCAGATGCTCATGACCGTCGGGCGGGCCCAGAGATATATTGATATCTTGCCTCGAAGGTTTCGGCGATTGGGGAAGATGTGGTAGTGCCAGATTTGGGGTGCCATTTTGAGGGCCCCCAAAAGTAGTGTTTGCTTTTTGTGGTTGTTGGCTTCACTTAAAGACCACCAAATAATGGGTCCCCGAAAAGAATGACACACCTGCTTGGCCTTTGGTTTGACTGTTTCTCCTTCCTTGTTGAACGAGTCGGTTGATCTGAGATGTTGCACCTACATGAGCAAGGCAGGTGCTGTTAGGGTATCGATTTTGGGTGGGCCCAGATGGATTTGCAGTTTGACAGGCAGCGGATTCGGGTAGTTCCCTGCTGTTTTCTGGTGGCGATGTTGTCGGGTATTATTAGCAGTGTTTGTGTTTTTTTGTTTTTTTCTTTATTTCCCGTTTCCAGCAATCAGCTGTTGACTTTCCAGCCACAGGGAAGGCTTGGAAGCAAGGGAAGACAGAATGACTGACCGGTCACACATCAAGAGAACCTGCCATCCCCATGTGTGCCACTTCTGAGTTACGTTGTGTGGCGTGGCGTGGGGCTTGACGTAGTTGCGTGGGGTGATGCCCCAAAGTACATTTACTGGGCGTGTTTGTTTCGCGTTACCCTTGCTGAGGAAACAAACAGCAGTGCCTGCAATAGGGGTCATGGACATGCATCCAGAAATAGGATGTGTGACTAGATGTAACATGTTGGCGCCCATGACCTTGCAAGGCTCACACAGGAAGGGAGGATTTTGAGAAGCCAATTCCTGCATCTGAGATGAGCATTTCATGGTGAGCCAGGCTTGGCAGTCCCACAAGAAAAGAAGCTTCCTTGAGGCACATCGATGACACCGAGACCGACACTGCCGCATTGAACCTGTTCATTGGTGCCCCGCTATGTAAGATTACTCTTAACAAAGCATCATGGTCGAGTTAAATGCTTTGGTTGGTTCTGAGTGGTTCATTTTCAGCCTAGTTTCAACGTTACTTTGCAGATCGATAAAGATAAACAACCGCCACCACCCCCGAAAATTCAAAAAAACTCTCAGAACCCTTTTGAGAGACCCTCTCAACAAGAGTGGGTTTGCTCTTAAAGACATCAGCGCTGAGGCGCCTCCTGGGCAACCACGCCACGTGGAGGACGGTTTGGGGGACGCCAGAATCAAGGGGCCCGGAACACCGGTTGACCCCAACCAGTTCTTTGAATAGCTTGCTGGTGCGATCGGCAGGGAATGAGAAATGAAATGACCCTGAGAAAAACCCATCCCCTATGGTTTCCCTGAGGGGATCCCCAGGATCATTCCCTCATTCCCTGCTGGGAGCCAGCAAGATAAAGCAGGTGAGATGGAGATGAACCAGTTTGGGATGTTGTGAGGGCAGGCGCGCAGTCCATTCTTAACAGTTTTAACACGTTTTGTGTTTTTTCATTGAAGGAATTCCCGTGGAATGAGCAGTGCTCTCCTGGCCATCGTGATTCGCTTCAGTCCCATCGCGGACTGGCAAGCTCGACCCCTTTGGGTGTTTGCCAGCTCAGGCACCCCGCCATGCCCATGCCGTTTTGCTTCGATTTGAGCTATGTGGACTGGCAAGGGACTACAAAGACAAACTCCCACCTATACAAGTATGTGAGGCATACATGTATACAAGATAAATACACCCATGTGCATATACATATATGATATGGACTAGGGATACTATTCGTTAGATGTTTAGGGTTTAGGGTCAACCAGTCACAGGGTTTCATCCTCAGCGGCCTACTTCCGCGCGCACCAGCTCACGCCCTTCCAACAGAGATGCTCTCAATTGGGACAGCTCGGACTCAATTGGGACAGCTCGGATGCTCCCAAGTGGTTGCAAAGGTTCCGTGGTGCAAAGGTTCCCTGTTGCCAGTTGCCATCTTTTTTTCTCCATGGGTCTAAAGATTATGGGTACAGGGAATGTCCTGTCAAGCTTTCTCAAATTGTCCCCCCTCACTAACTCACGGGTTCATCCAAGGTGTCGTATCAAGGCATCCGCCTTTTTCCTTCCCCGGGCAGGCGGTGTACCAACTGCTGCAGAACTGCCAAGAGGCCGAGCTTCGGCAGTTCAGTTCTTAGGGCCGGTGTAACTTGAATAGGGGTAATGTTGACCCCAGATTAATCAACCCCAGTTTATGAATAGACGGTATTTCCCTGGTTATTGGATTCATCACTTGTGGAGGGGGACACCCTTTTATGAATAGGATGGGTGTATTGGTGCGGGGTCAACATTACCTTAAAACCAAACCCTCAGGTCCACGTTTCCATGGAGCCCACCAGAGAAATTGTCAATCGTGTTCCAAGACCCCGACACGCCAGGTTCCATCTTAGTGGACAGAAGGGTTAGTCATGATCATGACCCAATGTGCAATCATGTACTTTGCCATTTGCAAAGGAGTTTCTTTGTGGCAGAGCAATTTCCGGATTCTATGACCATTTGCAGGCGGCTGATAACTGTTGTTGCCCTGAAGCAAACCACAACAGGATGCATATGTTCCATAGTTTGAAAGGTTGACAATTTCCCACCCAGTCTCTACCATAGATAAAGGATGGAACGACGCTCCGAGGTTATTGGCGTAGTGGTTGCACCACTGTAGACTGGCGCCGCATTTTTTGTGGAGATTACTATGTGGTATACTCAGAGAGGCTGGGAGATATAGGGCTATTTGGTTGGACATGCTTGAAATGAGGGAAAGGCTTTGTCACCGATAGCGGGCCATTCAAACCTAAAACTCTTTGCATTTGGGTACTGAATATGGAAGACCAGCAAAGCGGACAAGAAAAGCAGATGGTCATCTTCCATTTGGTTAAGAATATGGTTTATTTTCCCCTGTTTTTTTGGGGGGGGAATCTATCACTACTGGAGATATGTTTTGTGTTCCAAAACCGATGGTCCTGGACACTCCGCGAGCGTTTCAATGTTGCACCCCGGTCGCTAGGCGGCCACCTTTGCAGCTGCCGCCGAGCTGGCTCAGGGGCCCAGTCAGCGGCGAGCGAGCCGAAGCATTGCATAACTTGGTGGCTCCCAGTCCCCTTAGCTTTTTAGCCTTTTAGTGTTTAGTGCTAGTGTCCATTCAACCCACTAAAGGTTAAACTTTGAGCAGGGGAGCAGAAAAAACCGAGATAGGTTCGTCCAATACGGGGAACCTCTGAAGTGGGAAGTCTTATTTCCTGATTTTCCCTCAAAACAACACAAAAAGGGCACCCCACATCCCATAGTTCTGGGTGAATCATGGCGATTCCCCCAACTGGTTACACGGCATTCCCCTAAATGGTTACACGGCACGCTCGGCGGAATTCGTTTGAGCAGGCCCAAACAGATCTCCATGTGGCCGTGTTTTTTTTGAGGGGTCTGTAACAGAGCCGAGGCGGACATTCGTTACAGACCTCGTTACAGACCTCTGTAACAAGACCCGCTCGCTCGTTACACACCCCTCGTTACACACCTTTGTTACACATCAAGAAACCGCTTGGCTTGCGTTGAATAGCTGCAATCAATCGCTTTGCTTTGTCTCGTTAC